ACGAGGTAAAACTACCTAATGAATTTGTGAACTGGTGGCTGAGCGGAGAAAAAATGGGTGTAAAAAGTCAAGCGTTGCAGTAAGTTGTGCAGACCCAAGGTTGTCAACAATCGAAGGAGACATTGCTCAAGAAATATTTGGAGAAAATATCTACTCGTTATCGAAGACAACATCTTAAGAGGATAGCAAATCTATTCATATTAATTTTTGACAGTTTTTTCTGAAGTGAACACATTAAAAATAATTCACTTCCAATATTAAGTCTCACTTAGACTATTTCATCACTTCCTGTAATCTCTTATGTAACTCTGACTAAAAATACTCACCACAGATAACTGGCGAAAAGAGTTAAGCTAGTCCACAGCATACGCGTTAGATATATACGAGTGAAAGCTTAAAACACTTATGAATTCTAAAGTTGAAAATAAATGCAAATACCATTTTGCATATAAGTTTTTGTATTATTGTTTTACAACGTCTGATAGTTAAGTGCTGAATATTTACAGCGGACATATTCGATTTTCTTTAAGCGAAAATACTTGTAAACGGCGCAACTCTTTTGTTTTGTTTCCAGAAGAAATAATGTGTACTTATATGTTGAAATGTATTTTAATGCGAAGAACATTTACCGATATAGATTCATTTTCCTTTTAATGTTATTAAACTGCACATAAACTGTGTTTATTCTTAAGGAAAGAAGTTGATCGGTTTACCCTTGCCGTCCCCATGGCTTAAAAATGCGTTCAAGCCATTCTCTTCTATTGGTCACTCAATCAAGACTAAAGAATCTTGTCCGCGATGCTATTTTATCCCTGACAATAGCAGGGGGTGGAAGAAATGGACTCCTGCACCTCCTAAAAGCATAACTCCGTAATGTACACAAACGTTGTCAACAGAAATTTGAACACGTTTCGCCGATTCTGATTTCCACTTTGCTAGCCGTAATTCCGAAGTTTATTTGTTTAGGGACGCAAATTTCCAGTAACGCAGTTATCTGGTACGCAATTGCCGATGATATAAATTTCCAGGGACGCAGTTGTCTGTTACGCAATTGTCCGGGACACAAATGTCTAGGAACGCAATTTTCTAGTACGGAATCTTCTGAGACGCAAACTTTTAAGGACGCAGTTATCTTGTACGCAATTGTCCATGATGCAAATTTTCAGGGACGCAGTTGTCTGGGACGCAAATGTCCAGCAGCCAACTGTGTGTCCACCCTGTATTTCACAGAATAAATATCACTTCCTACGATGATACCTAGACTTTATGAATTTAAGCGTAGTCCTAGACTGTAAGCAAAATCTCCTTATTTTACAAGTAAAAAAAGGGCTAGATGTAACCATAAGTTCTATGATAAGAAGTGATTCTTCTATCGCACTTTCGCTTGTGGAAATGGCTTCTCGCTTCTTGCTGCCAAGTCAAATTTGATCCTCAAAAATTTAAATGCAATGCCAATCGTTATCTTCTGTCTTCTTAATTCCTGTTTTTTTTATTGTTTTCTCTCCGGAATAGTGTTTTTTCTAATATTTTCTAACGCTCAGTAACCACTTGCACATTAGTGGATTTATTGCCTTGATTGGGTGAAATGATTAAAAAAAGAAAATGTTTAATTAGATAGTTAAGGAGTATGCCATTAAATGACAGTATAAACTATGTGTATTGTTTTTCCTAAATCATATAATGCTTTTACAATATCAGTTAGTTATGTGCCATGCGGGATACATGCCTAATTAGACGATCATGTATGTTTCGATACATGACTGACGAGGCAGATTTTTCCCGCAGTAGGTTGCCATTTCTTTCTGCGGTAGTCCAGTTGCCATCCAAGGCTATAGAACCCGGTTGGTCTTGCTATTTACCCATAATTAGGGGTGAAGAAAAGGATTCATACCTTTCCCAAGAGTATTAGCACTTAAGTGAATGCAATGGATTCGACCGGAATCCGAACTCGGCTCTGAATTACTGTGTAAAATGTGATATAGATTAAAATAAAAAAAAGCGATAGGAAGCCGATGAAATCGGCCAGGCTATGCTTCTAGACACGTCGGACGCCGAAAAATTAAATTGAAATCTTCACGTCTCTGCCTTTTCTGGGTTTTTACCCTAAGGAATCATATGAATCCATCTTCTTCTCTAAGCTATGGGTTAAATAGTAGAACTAGTATCAGGAAAATCATTTTTATGCTAATTAGTTATTTAATACAACATTCACTCGCAAAAATAAAAGATAATTATACTTACAATCCTAAATCCAGTGGTTTTGTAAGCATTGCTTAGATGTGGCATAAGCTGAATATATGGGACACCCAGTGAGGATCGAACTCACTAGTCGGTTATAATTGATTTAACGAAACAAGCTTGCTAACCATTACACCACGGTAAAGTGTACAAACTGATTTACCAAGTGTAGATTAGTTGTGGCTCAAGGCCGAAAGTGCGGAGCACCCACTGAGAATAGAATTCCCCACTCACTTGTAATTTATCTAGCAAGTAAACATTGATAAACTTACAATCCCAAATATGTGTCGCTTTTAAATAGGTTTGCTAAAGGGGCGATAAGGCGTAAAAAATAATCATCGCTCTTTCGAAGGACGAAAAGCGTAACAGAATTTTTTTCTTTTTGTTATATTTTTTTAATCCAGTAACTCACTGCCACTCCTTTTGAGCCGCTCAAGGTAGAATGTTCTTCTGCTTGTGTTAAAGGCGTAAAGGGAGAAAGTAAAAAGTGCATATTATGAGAGTATATAGATTTGTATATATGTTCCACATTGCCGACATAGATAAAATACATATATTCTGCACGACTAAGCAGAAGATGATATTAATGTAATGTTTTATTTTTATTTATTTATTTATTTTTTTTTTTACTGAAATGCATAGAAAATAATGTCATCGTACGAATCAGGCAGAGAATATACTCAGAACATCCAACCATGTAATATGCACACGAATTTTTAAAATTCCTCTGCTAAAGTACTTAGAGAGATAGAAAAATTAACAGTCGAAAAAGCTAAAGAAAGATGGAGTGGACTGTCGAAATTAGAAATCGACTATTTACGACGAACAATAATACATGTGAACAACCAGTAATTCAACAGACTCCGACACAGACTACACACCCAACGTTCACACAGTAGATGGGAGGACGTAGGACAAAACAGAGCTTTTAGAAAACGTAGCTAACACAAGATTATCTAAAATCGAAGCCCTAAGCATAGGACTGGAATAAAATATAAAGTAACTTTATTTATTTTATATTCAGTTTACCCAAGCTGCAGAAATAATTCTTGTCTCCATAAGTAAGTCAAGGCACACACACAGCTGGGAGCCTTCCATTTCCGTTGAAGATTTAATTTTGTTTTTACTCTTTTTTTTTTGCCGTTGTTTAACGTGTGTGTTATTTGTTCGTTAAAATGATACACGCCAAATCCTTGTTTTGGGATTGGGGTGCGCTTTTTTTATTCAGGATTCAAGACATTTTTAAGTCTAACTTTCTGGTGCTATGTTCTTTCATCAACATGGAAGAAATCTAGAGACGTAAGTACACATGTGCAAAGCATATATACTTATTTGTTCTGCATTTATCTCCAGGTCCTTCTGTTTCCGCGTTTAATCAGCCCAGAAGTTATGCATCTTCCATCGACTCATGTCTTAGGAGTAAGAGAAAATTGTATTAGGAGAGAATGACAAGAAAAAACTGTCATAGATAGATAGATAGATAGATAGATAGATAGATAGATAGATAGATAGATAGATAGATATGAAGTGACGAGGATAGATAGATAGATAGATAGATAGATAGATAGATAGATAGATAGATAGATATGAAGTGACGAGGATAGATAGATAGATATATAAATAGATAAATATGAAGTGACGAGGATATATATATATATATATATATATATATATATATATATATATATATATATATATAGATAGATAGATAGATAGATATGAAGTGACGAGGGTAGATAGATAGATATGAAGTGACGAGGATAGATAGATAGATAGATAGATAGATAGATAGATAGATATGAAGTGACGAGGCTAGATAGATAGATACGGTGCATACTGGGAAGAGGTATATGATGGCTGAGATAGATATGAGGATACAAGTACAAATAGATAGATAGATAGATAGATAGATAGATAGATAGATCAAATGATAAGGAAATAGTCACTATTCCTTGATGGTTGAAATTATAAAATCTTTCTCTTTTCAGGAACATAGGCATCTCCAGTTGAGTAACTGTTATTGCTTTTTCCAGTATTGATGGTGGCTTCCTTCCTAATGTTTTGTTTGAAGTAGTGTTGAACATCAAAATCTTGATTATGTTCTTATTTTCTCTAAGTTATATTTATTGTCCATTTTATTTGTTGCTGCCGTTCAAATTCCTCAAGTGATGTAATTTCTGTTATTTGGTACAGATATTTTTTGATGTTCTATAACGCCAATACACAAAGTTCGACGAGAATGTGGTTATATTTAGTCGAGAGTTTGGTGCCATACATGGCATCCTATTGAATGTCTCGATATGACGAAGTTATTTAAGAACATGATGTGTTTCTAGATTAATGTTTCTGTTTTATCGCAATTAGCGGTGTTGGGCGAAACTAACTGTAGCTCAAGGAAGAGTGTAGCCTACACTAAATCTCAAATTGAATAGTTTATTCATCTGGTTTACTGAGATCTGTAAAGTTCCTGTGTTGTAGGTGATGGATGCGTGGGCGTAAAAGATCTGTTAATACTTGCAGGAGTAAATGAAAATGAAACTCACAATAAGAAACAGGATGATTTCATTGGAAATAAGGAAAAGAGTACTGAAATATTATGTAATATCGATACTCCTTTATGGAGTTTATCTTTCAACTTTCTTTCAATGTCATTATTTGCTCATTTTTTTTTCTATTTTTTCTACTTCGTTGCATTTTCCTGTCTTAAAATTTTTTCCTTCATCCTTCATTTTTTTTGTTTTTGTTTTTTGTTCTTCTACATTATGCTTCTTCTTTTCTTTTCCCGTCCAAATTTCTTTGCCTTCTATTTGCTTAAATCTATTTTCTTTCTCTCTTTGTTTTTGTCTTACCTTCAGTCATTTAGCTTTATCTTTCTTTCTTTCTTTTTCTTTCTTTCTTTCTTTCTTTCTTTCTTTCAGTTATTCTCATGCATTGGTCTTTCCTTTTTGTTTTTTTCTTTCTTTCTCTCTTTATCTTACTTCAATTTTTCCTATCTTTTTTGTTTTTGTTCTTATTTACTTCCTTTTGCGTTTAGCCTTATTTCTTTTTGCTTTCTTTCTCTTTTTCTTCCTATTTTCTATTCCTGTTAATTTTTCTTTCTCTTTTTCTCTTTTTAATATTTTACTTTCTTTTTTTTTTGTCTTTCCTTCTGTTCTTGTCCTTTTTTCTTTTCTTTCCTTCTTTCTTTCTTCTTCCTTCTTTCATTTCTTTCTTCTTTTCTTCTTCATTTACTTATTTCTCTCTTTCATTCTTTTGTTCCTTAATTTCTTTTTTCTTCTTTTCTTTTTGCTTCCTTCCTTCATTTCTTTCATCTTTTCTTCCTTCATTGCTTTCTTTTTCCTTTCTTTCTTCCATTCTTTCTTCTTTTTTTCCTTTTTTCTTCCATCCTTCAGTTCTTTCTTCTTTTCTTTCTCCATTTCTTTCTTTCTTCCTGCATTTCTTCCTTTGTCTTTCTTAACTTCTTTCTTCCTATCTTCCTTCATTTCTTATTCTTTTCTTTTTTTATTTCTTCCTTCATTTCTTTCTTCCCTTTCATTTCTTTCTTCCTTTTTTCTCCCTACATTTCGTTCTTCTTTTATTTATTTCTTCCTTCCTTTCTTTCTTCTTTTTTTTTCCTTTTTTTCTAATTTTTCTTTTCTGCCTTTCTTTTCTTTTTATTCCTACTTTGATTTCTGTCTTCTTTTTCATTGCTTTTTTTCTTCCTTTCTTCATCGTTCATTTCTTTTTCCTTTCTTTTTTCTTCTTTCCTTCATTTATTTCTGCTTTCATTTCTTTTTCTTTCTTTCTTTCTTCTTTTCTTAAAGCTTTCCTCATTGAGTTATATTTGCCTTAAATATAACTTCATGTTTCAACATCCTTTTAAGTCACATCCTGTAATAATTTATCGATTCTGTTTTCTATACATTCCACACAATTTTATCGCTTTCTCCACCCTTCTTTTATTTAACGATATTGCCATGAGTAATAAAAGACATTATTCTAGACCTACATGCAAGAACGTCATCACATTTAGATGTCACAATTCCATACCTGTTTTTACAACATTTCATTTTATTTTACTTGTCTTTTTTTGCTTATGTTTTCATTGTGAATTTATTTCTTACACAGAAATAATCTTAACAAATGAACTGCTATTTATTGTCATATTATTTTCAATAGACATTAAATATTCCCTTTCTTCTTGTTTCGCCATTTTCTTGCGACACACGTGAGAAGATTTTGATCAGATGCCTTTGATAACAAAATTTGTGGAACCTCTCGTAGCATTACATATATATATATATATATATATATATATATATATATATGTGTGTGTGTGTGTGACAGAGTGGGAAAAGTTTTTGTGTGAAGCGTTTTGTCCCTTAGAACTTCATCGATCTAGGTTCGTTTACATTGATACGATTACACAAGCCTAGTCCGATGAAGTCTTAAAGGACGAAACGTGTCACAAGAAAACCTTTTCCACTTTGGCATACATATTTCCTCCAAAACTGCTATTTATATATAGAATGTTATATATCGTAATCACTTATATATATATATATATTAAAGACATATTTTTATGTTTAACGTTGTTATTTTATAGATACAAGTATTTAAGCAAATGCTCTGTTTATGATAAACAGTATTAAATAACATTTACCGGCCTGAATGTCCGAGAAATTTTCATAGAAAATATTCGTTCTTTGACAGGATTCGAACCTGCATCCTATACGGAACCGTCATATACGCTGACGTGCCTTACCTCGAGGCTACAAAGAAGCGTTCGGTAGACAAGGTCGAAATGTCTTTAATAAATAAATTGTCGGACCTTGTCCATTTCTTAATATATGACGTCATTTGTTTACATTCGATACGCCAGAGCAGTTATGAATGTACGAGATTCATGGAAGATTGGAGTTTATAAGCAGTAAATTCGACCTTGTCTACCGAGTAAACAATAGTCAAGATAAGAACCAGGTGTGTTTCACTTATACAGTGTAAGTCAAGGAGTATAAAAATTCCCCCTCTCTCTCTCGAGTGGTATACACATTCTGATACTTATCGGTCACTGGGTTCTGTCCTGCGCTGATAGTATCACAGCTATAACTAGCTTAGACCAACACTGACCAGCTTGGACGAGCTATGTCCAGCTAAGACCACTGGCTCGAGTTAAGACACTCGGTTTCCCACGTTAATAATCAACCTTGTGTCACAACTTGACTCAGTGGGATGGTGGCAAGTAAATCAATACACTGCACGTCAAGTTAGCTATGTATCTGCGAAACTTGAAGTCTATCCTAAGATAAGTCTAAGATTGATTAAATTAATATGTCGACTAATAATATTTCTACTACAATCCTATTTTATTATAAAAATTATTTGTTTAACCAAAACGGCAATAATATACTTTTCGATCATCACTGAAATAAAATGCTTCAGTTATGCTGTACATTCAGAAATTAGAAATCTTTATTTTAGGCATATCTTCCTTTGACTCCAAAACTGACAAACACCGTCTTTCTTTCCAATTTTAAGGAAATCTTCAGAGTATCTTTCAATTCGTTTTAGTATTTTATTGCTTGCTCAATATGATAATATGTAATTTATTTTCACGGGATGATTATTTTAATTTAAAATGGAGTATATTCTTCACATTTTAAAGATTTAAATTCTTCACAAATCGAGCTAAATCTATTTCGAAATAAATATACGGTATTTACCGGCTTATTGTATATACGGTATTTACCGGCTTATTGTATATACGGTATTTACCGGCTTATTGTACTAAAGAATTATTCTATGTCCAATACAGCAGTATAATGTATGAAAGGGACTTATAGACCACGAATCAATGTACGCATAGAGCTTAACACTGAAACTAGGTCTTCTGGATGTGAACAAACACATGAATTAAAATATCCCTGAGAAAAATGACTAAAGAAATTTATGGGATTACGCAATATTTTGCAACACATCCCAGATTTTACAGAAATATTTGCTTTGACTCGTATATCGCCGTTTTTTGTTGATATACAGGTGTTGCAATTGGCTTTACTCTATGTTTGGTATAGGATTTAATTTACCAACAACTAACATATTTCTGGGTTTTTTTTAACTATTGCCATATGTACCAGTGTTCACGAATACCAGCAGATTTCTTTGAAGATATTATGAATTTACTGCATGTGCAAATATGATCCTTGAAAAACAACTAAAACAATTTTCAATAAATGCATGATGAAATGCACTATAATCTTATTTCGCAAAAATTGTTCTAGTAATTGAACATTACCTCACTTCTTTTATAGACGTAGCAGTAATATAATTTGTACTATTAATGTAAGTGTTTCTTCATGGTTAACGAGAATATCACATAAAAGTAAGGTTATAATTTTGATTTTTTTTTTTTTTTTTAGATTGAGATGTGTGAATTTTTTTCCTAAATTTTCTGGATGCGCCCAACGCGTGGCGTGCGTCCAATCGGCTGGCAGATACGTTACTTTTAACGCTATATATTCAAGATATCAGAAAAATTGCTTCACTTATTGTTATGGGGTCCTCCCCTTTTTCATATAAGTGGACTCGACCAAAGTGTTACTTGGACTGCTGCCGTTAAATACCCAGAGTCAGTCGTTCACTTTTGAACAGACTGCTCGGTTTGAACTCTCTTCCTACGGGCGGGAGGAACCCGAAGGAGGCTACGCCGAAGGGCGGAGTCTCCTTCGGGAGGTAAAACCGGCCCTGAACCCGTTTATACGGGTTCAAATGGGCTATTTTTTGGCCGAGCCTAATGGCTCGGAGATCCCACGTTAAAAAGGCCTTATGCCACATAAGCCCCTCGTGGGAGGTGACAGAATATCGTCAGTCAGAATATAGAGAGTGAGCAGTGATTGAGTTGGACGTAGAGTAATAGTGTGAGGTAACCGATTGTAGAAGTCACAGTTACAAGCACGTAGACTCTAAGGAAGTCCTACTTCGAGACTATATATATATATATATATATAATATATATATATATATATATATATATTATTGCTACTAACCGCGTTCCTGGATTTACTAACAGTATAACCCATTGTATTATTGTGTAAATACATTTAATTTCTTATATTTAATTCTTGCGTTTGTCATTCATTGGAGACCGAATTTCATCTCGGAATCCACAACACTTATAATTACCTCTGAGATGTAATAAATAAATAAAGTCAATTAAACAAATAAAGTGTCCTGAATATGACAATAAACTACATCCGACAGCAAGGCCTCTGATCATGTGGTTTTCAGGCGCGTGGAACCACCTCTTAATTGTGGTTATTCCCAGGTTCACCCTGACCTGCGGTGGTAGAACCTGGCAGGGTCTCTGCTATAAGCAAATAGTTAACCCCCAAACTGGAATCAAAACACAATGAAAGTGTAAAAATAGGTTTTTATAGTAAAAATACCAGCAATAGATTTTTCAGAAAAAATATTGCTAACAATATATTTGGCTCTCGAAAGAAAAAAAGACACTAATGAAACCCGATCTATATACTGAGTTCTTTGAAAGAATACATTCTGTTCATACGAACCTATCCTAAATATCGTGTCGGCATTAAATAACCCATTGAGATTGATATGCCGTAAAACAAAATAAACCAGACCGAAGCAAAAACAAATAAACACAGAGCAACAAGACAGCTAATATCGGAAAATATAATTCAAAATTCACGTACTCAGAAGATAATTTTGTCTTGTTTTTTAACGTTTGGGGGATAACCATTTTCTTCTTTTTTTTTTTGCAATAGAGATTTCGTAAATTTTAAAAAAAAAGTTATATGTTTGCCAACTATCGACAAACATTTCTTAATGCCTTTCGCAAATCTAAAATTGAAAGGGAAAAATATTTTCTTTTCCCCTCGAAGAGATCAATCATAAGACTAGATTGAAATGCTTAAGACGGAGATAAACAGAAATACGTTAATGGGATCTCGGTCAAGGTAATTTCGAGAAGAAATATTTGAGGAGAAGAAGAGAGAAAAAACAAATAGAATGTAAAGAAAATAAGAAAGGCTAAAAATAAACAAATAAAATAATATACGTTTATCTACAAAATTCACCAACTTCAGAAGAGTTACTGATGTTTCCTTACCCTCGGCTTGCCCTATTTTTTATAACATATTTTTGTAAGGTATTCACATTTCATTGCTTATAAAAATACCTTCAAATATGGAAACATTTCGTTACGCTTACGTAGCAATTTGCAATATGGAGGCCACCCATACAAGCTACTAATATAGCCATACTAATTTAACAATTTTTCAACATTTAATTTCAGTAATTTGATTAAGTGTAATAGATCCTGCGCCGTAGAGCATGAATTATTCTCAAATATGTTTTTCAGTACTTCTCTATAAAATCTAACAAGGCTATCCGACTATGAAAATTTACTCAATGACAAGTAATCACTGATTGATTAATTAATTTTCTACACTTTGGAGGTTATTTAAAACTGGATAATATTGAAGAATATTTTTTATTTGTAGATAATAATTTTTTAGTGATACACATCCTGCTAATTAATCCATAGCTGTGGCGGGGGAGAATAGGTGAATTCATACTTTTACCAAATGTACTTGTGCGTGAGTGAGTATAACGAAGGCGACGAAAATTTGAACTCGATACTTTGATTAACAATTGCGTCACTTATAATTACGCCTGAGATGTCATAAATAAATAAAGTCATTTAAACAAATAAAGCCTCCTGAGTATGACAATAAATTCATCCGACAGGAAGGCCTCTGATTAGGAGGTTTTGAGGGGCGTGGAACCACCTCTTAATT